TATGGCCTTCCTCAGGCTGGTGGCCCTACACACCGCTGGCGCGTCCAGTCGGTGGACCATCTGCATATAAGGCCCACGTGGGCTATAGCCCAAGAAGTGAATCACTGACCGCAGCCAGGAAAATGAACCGCAGCTCATGAGTAGCCAATTTGACCGCAGCCAACTTCTGAACCGCAGCTCAGGAACACCCAATTTGATCGCAACCAAATTGGGGAATCATGCATCACATAACACCTTGTAGCACGTAATAGCACATTGGGAAGGGGGAAACGTATAAATAAACTTACGTGTGATTATTCACATACTAAGAGTAGTCCTAAGGGGTTCATGCATCCTCCTCCTAGGCCAACGGGTTACCGATTCACTAGCCTGCAATTCCTAAGACTCTTTTATCCTACGAATGGCACCCGAAACATCAAACTAGACTCAAGCACGACAAACGGGGTCCGTTGGGACACCATGGGGAATGGGGAACATCAAACGGGGAAGCCGAGGACCCGGGGTGGGTAACAGACCAGCGGGTAGCCGGTGGGTGGAGGGCCACCCGCTGGTGACGATCTTCCGGGCAGCGGGTAACCGGCGGGCAGACGTCTGCCCGCCGGCTGCCCGCTGCCTGGCGGTGATTCTTGGGCAGCGGGTAAGTGGCGGGTTCCCCTACCCCCACCTATCCCCCACTGACTTTTCATCAAATAACGCATCCCGGGATTCCTTGTGGAACCCGAAACCATGCTTAGACACTTTTAAACGTAAATAACGACACCACATAGGCAATTAACGGATCAAAAGCAAGAATCATATTGAACATATCCTAACCTGACTTCTAAACATAACAACACCCGAACATGCGAATTCCCACCCAAATATGAATCAAGAACATCACAACACAAATTCCTAATCCAACCTAGGGCTCTAATTCTCATCCAAATTACCAAGATCATATTTTATCTCTAACACCAAGAAACATCGAGATTTGTCAAGAATTATCACATAAACATCAAGAACCTCTTTTTATCATCAAGATCACATATAAAATTATCACATCAATCAAATAAGATTATATCATGATTATTATAAAGGAATTCATCAAGACACAAGCATATAGAGGGAGCCAAAGAAGGAGACTATAGCAAGAAAAATAGGTTTTGTTGAGACATGGGTTACCTCTTAGCTTTAATTAATCCTCCTTTGGCTATTAAGGTTCTTCCCTAAAATTTCTATCTGATTGATCTCCCTAGGCTTGGTGGCGGGGGAACCCCTTGGGAATACTTTTGTGTAATATAACTATGGTGGTAAGGGTTCTAATGCTTTCTAATCCCCTATTTATAGCATCAGAAATCCTAATCATAATCTGAATAGTAAAGGCCTACTTTCTACATTCCTAATAGATAATTAGGTCTAGGACTCCTAATTAGAATCTGATTAGTAAAAGGTTTACTCCTTTTATTCCTAATAGGCTTAAGACTCTAGTTTAGGCAAGGGTCCATGGTCCATGGTGGACCACATTAATTAATTAAAAGGAATCCCAGCCAAATTAATTCCTTTTTAATTATTATTAACGGAATTAATTAAATAATTAATCTGGGAATGAAGGCCGTAACACGGGGTGTTACATGGTCGGCGGGTGGTCCTCCACCCGCCGCCCACCCGCTAGAAAGTGGTGACGCGGCGGGTTGTTTTCCCCCGTTTGTTGCTTCCCCGAGTCCCGTTGTACCCCGTTTGATGTTTATGAGTCTCGTATGATGTTTTGAGTACCGTTCTAGGAATTTATGTGTAGTGTGTATCATTGTTGTTATAGCTTGATTGTTATTGTTGATTATGTGATTGACTGATTGAATGATGATGGGTGTTGTGATCATTGCGCAATGATGGTTGAAATTGATGATAATGAGATTGTGATTGGTGGAAATGAATTATTGGCGGATAGCACAACGAGTGCTCGGTTATCGTGCTAAAGGCACGGACCACCCCTTAGATTTGCTGGCTAAAGGCTTGGGTCAGGGTATAAGCGTCACGGTTCCATGTCAGAGCTATATGCGATGACCCCTTGGTAGTGGTGCTAGAGGCACGGATCATGCGAATGGCACTTCGGTGCTACCATGTTGGTGGACTTGTTGGTGGTTTTGGTGTGGGGCATGTAGTTGCTTCGGAGGAATAAGGGAGGTGATATAAGGGTGGCCTGAAGGTACAGGTTAGAACTGTTATAAGGATGGAGAGGAGTAAAGGTTGGAACTTGGTATAAGGTTCGAAGATGGTTTGTGTGCTTTGATGATTACTTGCTAATTGATTGGCATTGGATCTCATTGTTGCCTTTAATTGCTATTTATGAGTTTACTTGTCTATTATGCCTTGTCTTGCGTTCTTAGGATGCATGCAAGATTTTGTGATCGTTCTATGGTGTCAAGTCTATTGTTGTGTCTTGAGTCTTGATCTTAGTTTAAAGCTAGAGTTTCTTAGGTTATATATGTATTCCGGTTTCAAAATGATTTTCTTATATCTACCTATATTATACTTAACGCGTGGGAGTGGGTTACCAGCATTATTCGCTGACGGTTGTTACACTGTATGTTTTTCAGGTACAGATCAGTAGCTTCAGAGTGCGCTAGATGGACTCGAGGACCTAGCTCAGATAGTTTGGTATTAGCTAGATGGCCTGTGAGTCTTGGATTGTATTATTGATATTAGTTATTGTTTATGCTTGTTTAAGTTAGTTTAGCCTGTGCATCTAGGTTCTCAAACCTAGATGTGGCATAGCACCTCGATACTTATGTTGTTAGTTCCGCTTTGTTTGGATGGATAATGATAGATTTGCCTTTATTTCATAGGCTCTAAATGTTTTAAAAATTAGGGGTGTTACATAAATGCCTTGCAAGCCAACAACACATGGATCCTAACAGAGCTCCCTCCTAATAAGGAAGCTATTGGGTGCAAGTGGGTATACAAAACCAAACTTAAAGCTGATGGCACCATAGAATGGCACAAAGCAAGGTTGGTTGCAAAAGGGTACGCACAAACTCCTTGTGTGGATTATTTGGATACCTTCAGTCCTGTTGCCAAGATAAATGCAATCAGAGTGTTGTTAGCAGTTGCTGCAATCAGAGGTTGGTCCCTACACCAACTAGATGTCAACAATGCCTTTCTCCATGGGGACCTAGTTGAAGAAGTCTATATGAAATTGCCTCCTGGATTTACTCCCCAAAAACCTGGTCAGGTGTGCAGACTAGTAAAGAGTCTATATGGTCTAAAACAAGCAAGTAGACAGTGGAATGTGAAACTGACTCAAAGAGTTACAGCACATGGGATTCAGGCAAGTCGCAACTGATCCTTCTTTATTTCTCAGAGGGCAAAGAGACAGTTTTGTAGCCCTACTTCTCTATGTTGATGATGTGGTGATAGTAAGCCTTGATCTAAGTTAAGTTCAATGGATTAAAAGACACTTAATTAGACTGTGCCTTTCACATTAAAGATTTAGTCCCTTTAAAGTTTTTCCTTGGGCTGGAAATTGCAATGAATAACTCAGACATCTCATTGACACAGAGAAAATATGCATTAGAGTTGCTTGAAGAAACAGATTTTACACAGTGCAAGCCAGCTAAAACTCCCATGATTACATCAATCAAGTTTTGCAAAGATACATGAAAAAGGCTTGAAGGTGCCTCTCAGTATAGAAGGCTTGTGGGAAAACTCTTGTACTTAACCATCACAAGACCTGACATTAGCTATACAACTCAACAATTATCTCAGTTCCTAGACTGTCCTACTGATCTAAATATGCAAGCAGCTCATAGGGTTCAGAGGTATATCAAAGTAGCCCCAGGTCAATGCCTCTTCTTCTCAGCAGACTCTTCGTTGCAGCTGAAGGGGTTCACAGATTCAGACTGGGTTGCTTGTCCAGACAGCATGAGGTCTGTAACTGGTTTCTACATGTTTCTTGGGAGTTCATAAATCACTTGGAAGTCCAAAAAGCATGCCACAATCTCTAGGAGTTCTTCTGAAGCAGAATATAGAGCCCTAGCCTCCACAGCATGTGAAATCCAATGGTTGCTATGCCTTCTGGAAGACTTGGGAGTAGCTGAAAATCCCCCAGCCTTGTATTGTGACAACGAGTCTGCCATTGCCATAGCTGAGAATCCTGTTTTCCATGAGAGAACAAAGCACATTAAAATAGACTGCCACCTAGTAAGAGAAAAGCTACAAAAATGAGTCCTGAAGCTTCTACATGTCTCTACTTCTAATCAGCTTGCAGATGTCTTCACCAAGACTCATGCACACAATACTTTCCATACTCTCATTTCAAAGTTGAAATTACATAACATGTACCTTCCAGCTTGGGGGGTGTTAACACATATAGCAGCTGAAGCCAAGAAGAGTCAGTTAGAGTTAGTTAAACAGTTATATATACGCCTTTTGTTTCTTCTCTTTCTGGCTTATATAAGGTCTTGGACCTCCTGTAAAGAAGATGATGCTTTCCAATCCATTTCAATACATGTCTATGCTTCAATATGAAATCCTACATTTCGATTTTATTCTTTATTCTGTTTCTAACACAAAACTTAATATAGATCATTAATTTGATTAAAACTAAAGTAGGAATCAATTAGAATTTTCCCTGCATTCAAGACTTACAAATTAACATTCTTAATTGGTGAAACATTAATAAAATATGCTAGCTAGTTGTCTATTATTATATTTAATTTAATTTGAAACGAAATTTTAATATTATCATGATAACTAATATGCTAGTTGTCTATTGTTATATTTAATTTGAGAGAAAATATTAATATTATCATGACAATTAGTCAACTATTATGCTAGTTGTCTATTGTTATATTTAATTTAAAAAACAATAAATAAATCTTAATATAAGCATGACAACTAATATGTTAGGTTGTCTGTTGTTATAGTCAACTTATATTTTGTGTAATTCAGTGGGTATCCAATTGGTGAGTCATCTAATTAAACAATCAATTAATCATGCTTAGAGAAATGAACCTTTATTATCTCTTGTTTTAATTATAGTTTGAACAGTAACATCAACCAAATACTAGTACAGCGAATTGGAAATTCTCCGATCCGATCCATCAGTAGTTGAGAAAAAGAAGAAGAGAAAAAGCAATTGAATTCAGCAATGGATTGTATTGTTGTAAGTAGTCTACTAGGAATAGTAGATCAACTACAGCTTCTTCTTCTTCATAATAAAAACAATCCTTGTTTGATTCTTCCTGAGATAGATGATGCTCAATTCATCCTATCCAGCTTAAAGGACAAGCTCCATTTCCTGCAGGCATATCTTCACAAACCTAAGCCCATAATTACCTCTGATCCCGATCGCGATGAGGCAGTGAAAAGGCTGGATGAAGAAATCAGAGATGTTGCAATGAAAGCAGAATATGAAATCGAATCCAAACTGGGTGAAGTTTACTTGGCGGCTAACCAGCAGGGTGATGGAGAGTGCGCAGTAGCAGTAGAGGCCGCAGCTTGTGAAGATCTTCATCGGAGCTTGCAACAAGTAGTGAAGGATATTGAGTCTGTTGAGGTGCGCATCAGAGATCTGCAAACTTCTTCTTCTTCTTCTTCATCAACACCACCTTGTTTACAGCTACAGAACGTCAGGGATGGTGTTGAAGTTGATTTGGAGAATACAATAGTAGGAGTCGAAGGTGATGTTGAGGAAATAAAAGGCATGCTCATTCCAACTTCTCCGTCCACACAACTACAAGTCGTTTCAATTGTGGGAATGGGAGGGACAGGTTGCACTACTTTGGCCAAAAATGTTTACGGAGATTCAAGCATAGAGTCACACTTTGACATTCAAGCATGGACGGTTGAAGGTTAACTACACAGTAAGAGAAATCTACTCATTGATATTTTAAGTTGTATTGTGTCATTGACCAATGAAGAAATCTCCAAACAAGATGATGAGAAGCTAGCAGAGCAACTCCACAAACTTCTGATGGGCCAAAGGTATTTGATTGTCATTGATGACCTTTGGACGGAAGAGGCATGGGATGAATTGAGTAGATATTTTCCAGATGATAGAAATGGAAGCCGAGTTCTGATAACTACTCGATATATGCAACTGGCTAACTATGCTAGCAGGTCAGGTATGTACATTTTCAGAACACGTTTTCTGAATCTAGTTGAAAGCTGGAATTTATTAAGCAAAACTGTGTGTAATGGAAAATGTAGTCTACCCCCTGAATTGGAGTTAATAGGGAGACACATTGTTGAGAAATGTATGGGAGTGCCACTAGTAATTGTTTTAATTGGTGAACTTCTGGCCACACTCAACAACTCACAAAGGCAGTGGGAGGATATTCTGTTGACCATTTCATCATTCAAGGATCCTTTAGAGCTCTTGTCTTGTGTAATAGAAGTTTGCTTCAACTCTTTGCCTACTCACCTAAAACCTTGTTTTCTTTATTTCGGAGTTTTTCCTGATAATACCGAAATTCATGTGAAAAAGTTGATAAAGTTATGGGTAGCTGAAGGATTTGTAAACCCGGAGATGAACAAGAGTTTAGAAGAGATAGCTAATGATTATTTGTGTGATCTTATCAATAGAAGGCTTGTTCAAATTCACAAGAGGAGTTTGGATAGAAAAATCAAATCATGTATGCTTCACGATATATTATTTGTATTTTGCTTGAGAAAAGTAATTAAGGAGGGTATTATGATGGTTAGTACGATGGAAGATAACAAGTTTCTTAAAGGGCATCATCGTTGGGTAAGTTGTCAATATGGTTGTTCGTCAGTTACTACAAGTTATTTTACTCACTCATCACATAAAACCCGTTCCATTTTCTACTTTGAGAAAGATCTATATCTTGCAAAGTGTTGGTCGATATTCTTATCTTTGAAGTTGTTAAGAGTATTGGACTTATCACTAATAAAATATTGGCTTGGCATGCCTAGCGAGATTGTGAATTTGGTTCATTTAAGATATTTAGCTTTAACAACTATAGGTTCTGTTTGTAACTCTCAATTGTTTAAGCTCCAACGTTTGCAAACTCTGATTTTCTCGGCGTGGACAAAAGAGTATCAATTGCAACTGCCATGTGATGTTTTGGATTTGCCATCGTTAAGGCATGTGCGCTTTGACAAGGGATCTTCATATTATCTCCCAAACTTTGTTCAAGAAAACTTACAAACTCTTTCATGGTTCAAAGTTACCGGCCAGGACTCAAGAACAATAGACTTTACAAAAGTTCCAAACCTGAAGGAATTGGGGATCTACATTGAAGGTGAAGTTTTGCCTAATGCTCTTGACAGCCTTGCTCAGTTACATCAACTTGAGAAGTTAAAGGTTAAAACGGGAAGGGTGGAGTGGATTAATCTCCCAAATTGTTTTCCATCAAAACTCAAGCAATTGACCCTTAGTAACACGTATCTTTCATGGGAAGATATGGACATTATTGGCAAGTTACCCAACCTTGAATTACTCAAATTGAAGGATTTTGCCTTTTGTGGCCCAAAGTGGAAACCAAGAGATGGGGGGTTTCTACAACTAAGGTTCTTCCTTATTGAGCGCTCTGATCTTGAACATTGGAACGCAAATGCAATCCATTTCCCAGTTTTGGAACGTCTAGTTCTAAGATATTGTTGGGACTTGAAAAAAGTTCCAAATGATTTTGAGGAGGTTTGTACATTGCGATTAATTGAGTTAGACAATTGTTGTTCTTCACTTGTGACTTCAGCAAAGGCGATCCAACAAGCGCAACGAGACTTGGGATATGAAGGACTTGTTCGTGATGTAACTAAGGTATCTCACTAATTCCCATTAATGAATTATGAATTTTGATAAATAGTTTATGAGTATTTTGGTTCTATTAATCAATTTTTTTTAGTCCCTCCTTCCTTTCCTATTTTTTCTTAATTGTTCTGATTTGTAATTTTATTTTTTTATTAGATTGAGCTGCCAACCAATGAAAGCTCGGAAAAAAGGAGTGAGTATGCAATTTGATAATTTTGTGTTTGAGGAAATCTGATTTAACCAAGGTATGCATACCGAATTACCAATGGAACATCAAAACCTAGCTACCATCTCATTTGGATATTTTATTTTGGGTATTTGCAAAGAATTTTAACTTTTCCGTTTGTGTTTTTGAAGGGAATCATATACAAGTTACAATGATGCATTGGCTTCATTCTCAGAAATGCATCCTGGCTGCCTGAAGTTGTGGTGTTCTCATTTGCAGCTTGTTTGTTATTACAATGATATTGATGTTGGAGTTTATCTTCAATAATGTGGTTGGTTATTGTATTTGATATGTTGGAATATTTCATAAGTGATAGTCTATTACTGGATTGTGAGATTCATTGAAGTGTTAGTGTTAAATATGATTTGGTATTTGGTTGATAAGTTAGTTCTGAACTTACTCTATCCAAACAATGGTTCATTTAAATGTATTGTATCAATGGTTCCATAATGTTGGTTGGTTGGTTGAATTGTTATTGTATTAAACCAATGATTCATTGAAATGTATGATAATGTTGCATTGTGAAGTTTCATCGAAATTCTTATTATGTTTCTTATGATGTTTGTGGTGTGTTGTGAAAATTATGAACTTCCATTTGCAGGAAATTATGAACTTCAATTCCATTTGCAAGCTTGTCAATCTCTAATGGTTAGCCATAGAGGCATAATGGGCTAAATTGGTTGGAATTGGCCAAGTCACATTAAAAATCAATCATTATATGATGGACTATGATTCACACAGTTACGTAGATCGTAAATGGTCCAAAATAATGCCATACGGTAAACAAATGATGTAATGGTAGCATGTAGTGTAGTACTTATATATAAGAGTAAGAAGGATGGAAAACACACGAGTAAAATTTATTTCCGTTTGAACTAAGTTCGTGTACACAATTCCCTTCGCTTCCTGAACTTAGTGTCCATATATACTCTCACAGAATCCTCGCTACCTGAAGCCAGATGCTCGCCTGAAGGGTCCCAGCACACAGAGTGAATTGGTTCCGTATGACCCTACAAATCAATCACACAGAGTTAATTGGTTTCGTATGGCCTACAAATCAAAGAACGGATCCATAACACGATACTTTAAGGAACACAGGGACAGACAACACAACATAATAGTAGCTCACACTAATGGCAATCGCAACTAAAAAGCTAAAAGTCCCCTCACGTGTGCAGGGCTCCAAGCAACAGGCTCACACTAATGGCAATTGAAGCACGTGCTCCATCTCAACTAAAAAATAAACGTTTCCTCACATGTGCGGGCAACAGGTAAACCATAGTCTCTCTTTTTTATCAAGTGACGCGGAAATTCGAACCCATGATCTTTGACATGGAATTGGCTCTAATACCAAATTGAAGCATGTGCTCCATCTCAATTAAAAGCCTAATAATAAACCGACTTTTTAAAGTAATTTATAATGTAAAGAAACTGTCCTATTGTTGGGGCAACAAGAGGGTATAACTTGTTCCCATAAACTATTTCAAAGGTAAAGCACTACCCGAGACACCGAGAGTATGCACTTGGTAAAACTTAGCTGACAAAGGATCAGAAGAAAGTAAACTAGCTTAGGTTGGTCATAGCTAACTGGCTCAAACCAAGAAGGTCAATAGGCCGCTCCCACTAGGAGTCGGACTTGGAACCTTATGGCTACCAAGCCAACAGCCTAACCAACTTGGTTGGGGTTGCCCCGGCAAAATATTAGTTTTGAACATTAGGCTAGCCAATAGCCTTAACAAATTCTCCCACGAATTCTATGCACTCACCTTCAACGTCTGTTGCAAGTTTGTGTCTCCACGTCAAGAATTGATACAACATTCTCAGCAGCCGCTGCAAGATACCTGCCAAGACGAGGCTGAAATCTCACCTAAGCCGCGCCACCCTATTTCAAATAATGAACATTAAGATCAAGCCATGATACCAAATAACAGTGACAACGAGGAAAGAACGCACCATATTATACCTTGAACGCTCTTGTGCAGCTACCATTGGTGATGCTCCAGTACCTAATCTCACCATCCCCATCACTGGAACAGATGAGGTCTTCTTTATTGGGATGGAAATCTAGTGACATAACACCAGCAGAATGCCCTGTAAAATTCCGAAAGGAGTAGCCAGGCTACACAGCCAATACAGGTCTAATTAGGATAGTTTTAAACCTCCATTCCGATCTTGGTTAGATAAAAATAAAAAATAAAAAAATAAAATAAAATAAAAAAGGACTAGCACATGCATCTTCAGAAATAACTCACGTAAGTGTTATGCACAATCTAACCATCTATCTGCAAATTTGAATGATCAACCAAACTTTTATGTTTGGACATGAACAAATTTCAGAAAAGAAAAGAAACAAAGTACGGTATAATGTTGGCTTACATTGTCAGCACCCCAAACTCTTACACTCTTGTCAAAAGAAGATGCTGCAAGGCGGGCCATGCTCGGACTAAAACGAACATCAGTTATAAGTGATGAATGCTCTTCAAGTGTAGTTTTTGGCTTTAAGGTATCTGTATGCCACAAAACAGCCTGCATGACCAGATAATGAAACAGAACTTGTGAAGAACAATTAATATGAACCAGTGAGAAAATTCAGTAGCTCTACTTAGTGAGAAATTGTTCACCTTTTTATCATGGCCACCGCTGACAAGCAGCTTTCCATCTGATGAGAAGTGGCAGCAGACAACTTTACTGACACTTGTACGAACAGAGTTTACTTCCGTAAATGTGAACCCTAACATTATAATTTATTTACATCAGGTTCATTCCAATGCATTAGACTGACTAAGATGACATTAAGGGCAGTATATATTCTTTGGCAGAGTTGATGTTTTAGAAGATTTATCAAGTTCAAAATAGTGTAGTACTCCATTTTACATAATTTTGAGAATATACATCAGAGACTCCAATTTTGCAAAAATATGACACAAAAAGTAGCATGCTACCAATCTTGAGAGTTCATAGACATCATCTTGAAACACCATATTTAAAGCACAAGGACAAATTAGGAAAACGGAGAAAATCAGCAAAAGAGAAAAGAAAATGCATTTAGTACTATAAACTACTTTTGTTTCTCAAATGAAGGTTAAACCATTGCATCATGATTCATGAACAATAGCCAAACAGCTGTCTAATCATCCCAGATTCAGTTTCCAAAGGTCTGATTTTTTTTTTTGAATAAAATGCAATGATAATAAATACAAAGTATATTTTGTAGAAACAATATAGTTTAAGACTACACAAAGAACTATCACCCTCAAATTCACAAATTCAACAGATTTGGAAGGTTAAGAAAAAATTTGGTCAATATAAAAGCCAGTCAACTATCAAGAACCTAAATAGGTCAAGTAATTTGAAAGATGGTGCATTTTACTATTATTATACAAAATGGAGGACTGCATAGAATGAAACATAAGATCAGATGGTGAAATGCTTATGAAAGCAATTTGTAGTTAGTTATTCTATGCAGTCAAAATTTGAAAATGAAATACATGAGCATACTATGCAAAAGGTAAATTGTATCCGCATTCTGGCGAGCAAGAATACCATATAAACATTATCCATTAAAGAAAAATATGTTAGGCTGTAAGCTAGGAAAAATAAGTAGCAGCAAACTCACCTTTACTAACGTCCATACCACGACCAACTGTATCTGATCTCTTGGATCTGCATCATCATGAGATAAAAAGGATTCAACATTATCATCAAGAGAACCATCACCCACAAAACGATCCATGTCAGCCTGCACAAGATCTTTATCATCCCACTGCCAAAATCAAATTCAAATGAGAACTAGCACAACTTTGAAAGAATTTTCTTTTGGATAAGCAACTAGTATGAGTTTCTTCTATATTTAAGGACTATGCTTACCAACTGATTTGATGGTGAGGTAAGTGTAGCGTTGTTATCTGTTCCAAACATCATCATTGGCTTTGAAGAAGTGCCAGTATTGTGCATGGGAGGCACTGACATCGCATCTCCAGCAGTGTGAGTTGATGGTGTTGATGGAGCTGAACTAGGAGACGGTCTAGCAGTGTTTGCAGTTCCAGAGCTATTTGCAGGCCCAGAAGATGAGACTGGCTGTTTTCTCTTTCTCCCATCAGTCTGGGTTTTTGAAGCCTTGAAATGTTAGAAATATGTTAAACAAATCTACACTGTTTACCAATTAATTTGGAGTATTTAAAAAGGAGTTAATACCATCTGAGTTCCTCCGAGTATACTGGTTTTGCCACGTTTAGTTCTAAGCTTTTAAATTGACCATTTGTGGTCTTTCGATTTCAAATTTAACCATTCATGGTCCAAGTTAACCATCCATGATCCTTCAACTATTAAATTTTAACCAAACATGGTCCTTTCAAGAGGACCACAACTGGTTAAATTTTGAAACTTGAAGGACCATGGGTGGTTAACTTGGACCACGAATGGTTAAATTTGAAAGTCGAAGGACCACAGATGGTCAATTTAAAAATTTAGGACTAAGCGTGACAAAACACTATACTCAAAGGACCTCATGGTATTAACTCATTTAAAAAGTCTATTCCAAGACAACAAGCATTAATACTTTTATTAGTGAAATCTCCTCTAAATATGATAAGGTTACTGGCAAACAAGTTAAAAAAAAAAAAATGCATAACCAAGCTATGAAATCTCCTCTAAATATGAAATCTCCTCATTCCCCCTAAAAGAATTTGAAATGCTGCAATCCCCAGTAACACTTCCAGATCCCATAATTTTATCTTGCTTGTAAGTGTAAAATTAAAATTACACTATTGGCTATTTTAATTGGTTTTCCTAGTTGTAAAAATTAAATCAATGTATTTTGTCTTAATTAGTTACGGACCATGTGAGTATGAAATAAGTGGTCAGAATGATTTGCATGTTATGTATCATTAATCGGTGAAGAAGCTTTCAAATGGACAAGAATGAGTGATGGTGATTTATTCGAACAAGTGGCAGCTAAAGAAAAGGCTAAGGCTAAGGATCTAAACTGAAGGTTCAAGAAAGGCTATAAATACACATGGTTCGAAGGAAGCAGCTGCCAACTTTGCGAACTATACACTGCCAAGAGCTCTCTTGATTTTACAAAGCTATTTATATTTTGAATGTATTCTCTGATTTAATTCGTTAGAATATTTATTGTACTGCATGATCAGTACGTGGTACTGCTGAAGCATCTTGTGAAGATTGTTCGGGTTTTCGTGTGTCAATCCTAGATAGGTGTTAGAAAGAGTGGTAGTGGTAAAGGCTGGAGGCCGTATTCAATTACCTCTTGTAATACTCCTTTGGTGAACATCTATAGTGGATTGGGCAGACGTGGGTTGCCCCGCAGACGTAGGAGAAGGAGCTCCGAACTGCGTAACAATTTCCTGGTGTTTTTATTTTTATTTATGCTTTCTGCAGTTATTAATTCTACTTAAACAAGTTTAATTAATCAACTAAATTGGTGCTTAATTCAATTAACGTTTAAAAACACATATCTTTTCTCTTTCAAGTATCACGGAACAATTTCAATTGGTATCAGAGCCTGTAGACTTAATTTGTTAGTCTATCGATCTAGCGAATCCGTGCATCTTGAATTTATCTCTTCAGCGGCTCTTTCTATTCTTTTGTTTATTGCTTATCTGTTTGATCTCACGGGGTACTGAGTTGTGCAGAATGGATCGAACTAAAATCCTTCCTCAATTGACCGGCGACAACTACGCATATTGGAAGGCTCGCACCCGTACACATTTAAAAGCTCAGGGTGAAGCTGTATGGCGATCTGTGGTGTCAGGATGGACACATCCCATTAAACCCAGCTCCAGCGCTGATGGAACAGAAGTCACTAAACCAGAAACTGAGTGGATTCAAATCGAAATTACCAATGCAGGAAACAACGATAAAGCGTTAGACACAATTTATTCTCTTATGCATGAAAGTCAATTTTCAATTGTTGCAGGTATTCCTTCAGCTAAAGGTGCTTGGGAGGCCCTTGAGTCCACATACGAAGGAACGACTTCGGTAAAACAGTCCAAGCTGCAATTGGTCCAGTCAAAATTCGAAGAACTGCGCATGAATGAGGATGAAACAGTCACCGACTTTCACACACGCGTACAGGAACTAGCAAATCGCGCTATGGTCCTTGGTGAACCTTTCTCGCAGGAAAAACTTGTCAAAAAGATACTGAGATCTTTACCGTCCAGGTTCCGAATGAAAGTCACAGCCATCCAAGAGCATGATGGTTGGGAGAAAAAGACTGTTACTCAGCTAATGGGAAATCTTAAAACTTATGAAATGGAAATTTTAACTGATCATACGAAAAAACAAAAAAATATTGCGTTTGTTGCTGAAGAAAATAATGTAGTATCCGATACAGATGAATCCAGTAGCTGTTGTTGTTGCAATTGTGCCAACTTTAACTAAGCATTTAAAAAAATTTTAAAATAAAATTAGCAGCTGTGGGGCATAGGCCACATGGAGAACAAAAATTGCAGTTAAGAAACTCGTGTGCAAAAAAAAAAAAAAAACAAAAACAAAAACAAAAAAAAAAAAAATAGTACCTTGATTACCATATCTGGATCTCCACGAGGCAAAACAGAATAACCAGCCTGCAAAGGCGAACCAATATTTGGAACATCATATCACCAACTAAATTGAGTCGTTTATTAAGATTACCTAAGCCAAGTTAAGTTCATTATAACCCATCATTACAATAAAGCATCATAATCATTGTTGTTAAGGCAGACTTTCAGCGCGAGGTGCCACCGACCGTCTAGTCGCCTAGGCGATTAGGCAGCTACCTAGGCGATGACTATGCGATGAGTATGTATGTACGTGTGTTTATTAAAATATCATATATTAATTCATAATTTAGCATTTTAGCATATAAACATATTCTCAAATCCTCTAGATCATTTAATATTATAAGCATTAATTTCTCTACAAAGATAAATGATTTCTAGCATAAAAGGAGGATATTTTATTTGATCTTTTATTCTACTAACGTTCTAACCACTATACTACACTATCAAGTTAGACATTTTATTTGATTTTTTATTTGACTAAACTAACGTTCTTACCACTATATTACACTATAAAGTTAGACATTTTAATATGGTTGTTTGCACAAAATCAACTCTTTCTTGAAGGGAGTCACATATGCGACATGGTCTTCCCAAACAGGGGCGGACCTACAGTGGGGGCAGTGGGGTCAGCTGCCCCCACTCACCCCACCCCCACCCCTTATATAACCCTTGTATGTATATGTGTATATATAGTACAAGTTTTAGTATAAGTATTAGAAAATAGAGAAATCTTAACAGAATGTGGCTAAGCACGTGGTTGGCCTGAACGCAAGTCAGGGTTCAAATCCCCTCTATTTGCTTTCAACATTCCCTTTTTCTTATTATTTCACTATTAAACATTCCCTTTTCTTATTATTTCACTATTAACACTACCTTTTCTCATTATTTCACGTTTTCACTATTATTAATAGTGCATATTGCCTCAACACAATAATATAATCTTCATTTATATATTAATGATGAGATGAGATGTGTAATTTATAATGGATCTTTTATTCAAATTATTTTATCAAATTGATTATGTTCATATTTTGTTATGAATATTTTTATAATTTTCTTATATCCAACATTATTTATGGCTAACTTTTTAAGTGTTTCATTTATTTTTTTCTAATTATCAATTTTGCTTTAATATTTTGCTCCCGCTGAAAAAAATTCCTGGGTCCGCCACTGTTCCCAAATATGCATGCATCCTGGCTATGATTATCCGTTGGAATCGAGAAAGTCAATAGATCACTTTCATATAGAATAGAACTAAGAACTTTGTGATTATCAAACCAACAAACTCGATAAAGGCCAATAGACTGCTCTCCAAGTTGTTGAAATTAAAACTTTATGATTACCTTGCATACCAACAGCTAGACAAACTCGGTTGGAAGTTGCCTGCACCATTAAGAGTTCCAAGATTAAAGCTTTTTCTATGGAAATTAACCTCTGGTAAAGTAATGGTTGAACATCCATTTGTAATTTTCCCAATCTCTAATGGTGAGCCATAAAGCCAAAAATGCAAGAATAAATGAAAGATGACAGCCGAAATACTTCAAATTTTGGCAACAAATATTTGAGTTTTCCATGATAATAAACATCCACTGCACCAGAACTGACAGGACCGAATAGTCTACTTACCACAGAAATCAACTTACACAATTATGTTAAATAATCCTTTATGCGCTATAACTTAAATGCGGAAGCACAATTAACAATGATCGCATGTAAATCAAATCAATCAACTAAACAATGTTCATGATCATGGACTTTTAATTAAATAGGAAAGATAGGACTTACTTGGTTCCATTGAAGATGTAATCTCTAAATTGAATGAATCAAGAATATAATGTTTCACCTCTCTTATCTGTATACCTTATTCACCTCCTGATGATACGGAGACTAGAAGACTTAGAGATTTGAAACCGTTAAGATCCCTAGAGTTTTCCTGGGTATTTATAGATGTGATGAGAAACCCTCTTCCAAGAGGAATGGGGAACCTCCTTTAGGAATAGAAATCCCTTTAGGAATGTGACATCCTTTCACGAATAGAAATCTCTTTAGAATTGTGAAACCCATAACCTTATCCAGTATACATCTTTTAACCCTTATAAACTTAAATTTTAACAGAATGAGAGGGAGGGAATTTCACCCAGTAATTCCGCCTTTACACATCACTAATCATCAACGTGAGTACCTTATGGAATTACAACCTTTATTATATAAATCATTGTTATGAAATAATTATTTCTAACAGTCTCCCACTGATTCATATAAGCATGACACCTTAATTATATGAATCAACGTTAGGAATAAATTATTTCTAACAATCTCCAACTTGATTCATATATGCGTGACTTTATAATTTTCAATTCTTAATTTGAGCTCACTTAATATGAAAATGTAAAAGTCACCACCTTATCGAACTTTATTAACCGAATTATGGCGGTTACAGGCCTGACATAGCGTCCCGCTCCCTTCCATGTATCACAGTTAATAAGAATTCGAACCATAATAATAAGGTAAAATATGAAAGTAGCTTATTCCTTATGTCTTAAACAAGACCATTGTTATCACTTATGAATTATGCATAAATAAGTGATCAACATCAACCATAACAAAATCAAAACCTGAATAGATATCTAAGAGTATCATCAACCTGATGTGCTATCAAACATAAATCCATACATGTATGGCAAAGTTAACCGTTATACAAGGACTTTACCAGTATGCCCTTCCTCCCAACATGGCCAATGAAGGTCATGGGCGCCAATCCCTTAGTCAACGGATCCGTGATCATAAAATTGGTGCCAATATGCACTATTGATACTCTTTTGATTTTGTACCTTCTCCTTAACGGACAGAAATTTCAAATCCATGTGCTTGGCACCACTAGTATATCTGTCGTTCTTTTAGAAGAACATAGCTGCTGTATTATCATAATGTGAATCCTCAATGGTTTGGCTATAGTGTCGACAATGCCCAAACCATAAATGAAATTACGCAGCCATGATTATTGAATTGTAGCCTCAAAGCATGCTACAAATTCTGCCTTTATAGTGGAAGTAGCAATGACAGGCTCCTTCACACTCATCCAAGATATTGCTCCATGAGCAAGTGGAAAAATATATTCGAATTTGGATTTTCGGGTATCCAAACATCCGGCATAGTCTGAATCCGAAAAACCTATAACCTCCAGGTTATTCGTTCCTTTTATAGGTGAGCATGTGTTCCTTAGAGCCTTGTAAGTATCACAGGACCCTCTTTTGCAGTTTTCCAGTTTATATCTTTCTAAAACTTTGTTAATGTGAGTCTTCTAGGATAAACCTAAAATCCCATGTGATCTATCACAGAATATTTCTTATTCCAATCACATATGAAGTCTCACCCATATCCTTCATTTCAAAGTTCTTAGAAAGATATTCCTTAACATCATGCAACATCCCTTTTATTATTAGCAGCAAGAAGAATATCGTCAACATGTAATACTGGGATTACAAAACCAAATGACAATTTCAAGTACCATTGTCTAGAAGCATGTTTTAATCCATAGATCGACATCTTCAATCTACATACCAGATTTTCCTTTCCTGTGGCCATGAAGCCTTGTGGCTAATCCGTGTATACTTCCTCTTTTAATTTACCATTCAGAAAGGCAATTTTAACAACCATTTGGTGGAGCTCAAGAACAGAATGAGCCACAAAAACCAAAATAATTCTCAAGGAGAATTATTATCCTGTATGGCTTGGTTAAATGAGACTGGATAATTATAAATGCTCAAGTCACTTTCATGCTCAAGTGCATAAACAATATAATCATCAGGAATGGCTGATCTTTTCTATCTAGTAGATCTCCTTAATGCCACTTCCTGCTGAGATTTCACTTGATCATCATCTTGAGTTTCAACCTCATCTTCATTTACAATAGCTTCCTCATGTGGAATTTGAGCATCTAGCTGCTGTTGTTCCAAAGTATTTCCATAAGGCTACACTGCACTGCAGCAATATGAACAACAACAGGAAAAAGGATCACTTGATGAATCTGGAACCATCAATGACTCCTTAATCTCAACATTACGAGCTCCCACACTCCCACTGACTTCGCCATTTTAAATGAAGCGAGCATCACCAGACTCAACAATCCTCGTACTTATGATTAGGACAATAAACATGTACCATTTGGACCTTTCTGGATATCCAATGAAATAACCACTAATGGTTCTGGATTCCAATTTATTTTCATGTGGATTATATATCATCACTCCAGCTTGACAGCCCTAAATGTGAAGATGCCTCAAACTAAGTTTCCTTCTTGTCCACAGTTCATAAGGTGTTTTAAAAAACAACCTTACTAAGAACCCTATTGAGTAAGTATGATGTTGTCTTTAATGCATATATCCACAATGAAACAAGCAATGTACAGTTATTGACCTTACTCCTAATCATATCCCTTAGAGTACGATTTCACCTTTCTTTCACACCATTTTGATGTGGTGTGCCTAACATTGTGTATTATGCACAAAATGCTCTTAGATTCGAGGAATTTCTTTAAATGGGATGGGAATTTGCCCAACTTTTGATGTTTTCCCATAATACTCATCACCTTTATATGATCTAATTGTCTTTACCTTTCTATTTAACTGACTCTCAACTTCAAATATGAATGTCTCTAGGACATCCACAGACTGAGATCTTTCACGCAGTAAATAGATGTAATAGTACCCAGAATGATCATCAATAAAGGTAATAAAGTATTTATCACTGTCCCAAGACGGAACATCAAAAAAAGACCACAGATATCTGTATGTATTAAATCAAGTAATCATGAGCTTCTTGTGGCTGAGTGTACTGATACATGTCTGACTTGCTTTACCTTTATGCAATCGACACATGCACCACTCCAGTCAGTAAAATCCAATTGAGACAAAATTCCAACTTTAATAAGTCTCAAAATCCTTTCCTTGGATATATGACTAAGCCTTTTTATGCCACAAGTCAGCTGAAGATTCTTTTGGTGCACTCCTTTTAACACAAACATCACATTAAACAAGGAATTAACAAAGTTATCATTAAGATTGAAACAGTATAGTGTATCCAACAAAACACCAGAACCATAATGGTTTTTGTTGATACAAACATTTGTCTCCAATCTTAAAGTAAAAACCCAATGTTTCCAACCTAGCTGTTGAAACAAGATTTCTAGAACAATTTGGAACATACAGACAATTCTCAAGATCAAGGCAAAAACCTGTATCCAGCTTAATTCTGTAAGTTCCAATACCTTCAATTCTAGCTTTCATCATGTTTCCCATGAAAAGACACTTTTCATGTTCCCTATGAGGTTGAAACATCAAAAATCTTGCTTAACATGTGTTGTAGCACTAGTGTCAAACCACCAAGTATTAGAAGGAACCTTAACAAGATTGGATTCAAAGCATACTGAAACTGAATGTATACTTTTATTTCCATCCAAGCTTTCCTCTTCAGGCATTCAGCCTTCTTCTGCCCAGGTTTGTTACAGAATAGCATTTCTGCACTTTCTGAAAATCACCTTGCACCTTCATAGGATGCTTGACCTTCTTTTTTAAACTTGCTGCTATTACTACCGACATCAGAACTGTCACCATTATAGCGTGATACGATAGTGTTCACTGCAAACATTTATCTCACATATCAATTGCTTTGAGTAATAAACCTTTATTCAGACTAAAATTTATAGACCTTAAATTTGCTTTTAAATCTGCCTTTGGGTCAAATTTAAATACAATGTCAATTTACCGACATGCATCATTCACACATACTTGAATGAGACTATTCATCAAGCTTCAATTTAATATATAAGCCATCTTTGGACATGGACTACATATTAACAAAACAAGAATCATAATCTCCTAAATTGTCATTAATCACATATCTGATCTACCTTTGGGCAACCGCTAAAACCATGTGTTAATGATCACAAATGCTTATCAATCTTTTAATGTCATTCAATGATGCAAAATACCTGTGTACGATAAACATTTGTAAACATAAATAATTGTTTAGCAATTACCTTGAGTGGGCCACTTTGGTGACTAACGCACTCGCCTTATGCTAATAATTTATTTATGTGAATAAACCTTAATTTCTGTTGTAACATAAACATAAATGATTATTTAGCCATTACCATGAGTGGGCCGCTTTGGCGACTAACACACTCGCCTTATGCTAATAACTCATTTATGTGAGTAAACTTTAATTTATGTTGTAACATAATCATAAATGTTTATTTAGCTATTACCATGAGTGGGCCGCTTTGGCGACTAACACACTCGCCTTATGCTAATAAATCATTTATGTAAGCAAACCTTAATTTATATATATGTTGTAAACATAAACATAAATGATTATTTAGCTATTACCATGAGTGGCCCGCTTTGGCGATTAACACACTCGCTTTATGCTAATAATTCATTTATAAACATATATATAAATTAATAGCGGATATAACCTACAACCATAATTGATCCTAAATGAGCCTATAATTTAAAGCAAGTCCTTAATGCCTTAAATAAACCAAACGGCTCAAATATAAACCCAAATTAAATGAGCCTAGAATTTAATTAAAGCGAGTCCATAATGCTTTAAACAAACCAAAGAGTACCAATTAATTGGTCCAACCAAATTATCATCTTTAATCTGCCATCACAAAAATAGAGATAAAACGAGAGAGACACCGGATGGAGTACCCTGCCGGACTGCCACCGCCGAACTCTCATCATTGCCGATGCCATACCTGAGAAAACCACTACAACTCGTTGCCGGCATCGCACGAGACCCAACTTCACCATTTGCCGTCTCTCTCTGTTACCCACCGTTTGACGGTGATTTGATTCCAAGATTACAAATATATGTATTGAACAGTGCGTACAAACACAACCATGCAAATATATATATATATATATATATATATATATATATATATATATATATATATATATACACAGCAGATACATAACATATGTAAATCATATATGTTAATGTTACATGAACACAAAAATAGCCGTATACACATTACGTATATAGCAATTGATTTGATTCCATAATTTGATATATATACATTGATTCCAACAAAATCAATTTTTTATATGCAAATCAATTACTATATACTGTATATATAAACAGTACGCATAGCAATAATATGTTTATTGATTCCACCGACAGTATGCACAAACAACGAACATGGCGACATCCATACCGAACACCAAAAATATTTTACAGTGTTTAATAAATTTCGACAGAATAATCAACAAATTTCGAACCTTTTAATCAACACAAACTTTATACACAATACAGAAGAGTATTAAACCTTAAATTGATTTAATCGACATAATAATCAATAATACCATAATTAATTAAACCTCAATAATTAAAAATCCCCAAATATCATGAACCCTAATTTTAGTGATTAATCAATTTACAAGCAGGCTCTGATACCAAATGTTAAATAATCCTTTATGCGCTATAACTTAAATGCGGAAGCACAATTAACAATGATCGCATGTAAATCAAATCAATCAACTAAACAATGTTCATGATCATGGACTTTTAATTAAATAGGAAAGATAGGACTTACTTGGTTCCATTGAAGATGTAATCTCTAAATTGAATGAATCAAGAATATAATGTTTCACCTCTCTCATCCGTATACCTTATTCACCTCCTGATGATACGGAGACTAGAAGACTTAGAGATTTGAAACCGTTAAGATCCCTAGAGTTTTCCTGGGTATTTATAGATGTGATGAGAAACCCTCTTCCAAGAGGAATGAGGAACCCCCTTTAGGAATAGAAATCCCTTTAGGAATGTGACCTCCTTTCACGAATAGAAATTCCTTTAGAATTGTGAAACCCATAACCTTATCCAGTATACATCTTTTAACCCTTATAAACTTAAATTTTAACAGAATGAGAGGGAGGGAATTTCACCCAGTAATTCCGCCTTTACACATCACTAATCATCAACGTGAGTACCTTATGGAATTACAACCTTTATTATATAAATCATTGTTATGAAATAATTATTTCTAACAAATTAAACACCAAAAACTAAAAACATACATCCAACAACACAACAAGGTTTGAATTTGACAGCCCAACAACACAACAATCTTAACTCACTTATCAAAAGCAATGTTTGGTTTTAGGCTCACATGGATGCATTCATCAGTACATATTCATTGAGTAGGGCATACCTCCCCAGCTTTAACCAGTTTTCCTCAAACGCCCCCAATATCATCAAACTCCTCATTCACTTTCATTTTCTTCAGAGGATTCACTTTCATGCATTTTCACAGCTTTCCTTCATTGGCAATTTAATCTAGAAAACCAATTTCCATTGACAAAAATAAATAAAGTGAAAGATATTAGAATGAATGATTTCCATATATATATATACAATAATAAAAATTCCATAATAAGGGTCAAAAACCAATATTTCAATATCAAGGAAGGGTAATAGGAGACAAACCTTAGCTCCAAGATCACGAATAACAAGTGCCTCATTACCATAGCTGTGCTGCTCTTCTTGAATTTCCTTGCAGATTCCACCAGAATAGGATAACAATTTTCTAACTCAATTAGTTGTAGTGTATTTAAATTTGAAAATTCACTTGGAAGTTCTTCCAACTCCAAGCAAAATCTTAGGATTAAGCGTTCCAAGACCGGGAAATGATCATCAGTTGTATTCCAGCATTTGAGATCTGAGCGTTCAATTAGGAAGAGCTTTAATCCCTTAAAGCCATCATCATCTGCTGGTTCCCACTTTGGACCGGAGAAGGTAAACTCTTTAAGTTTGAGCACCTCGAGCATTGGCAACCTTCCAATAATGTCCATGTCCTCCCACGAAAGATAAGTATTACAAAGTGTCAACTTCTTAAGGTTCTGACGAAGAGCGGTTGGAAGATAAAAGCCCTCCACATTTCTCCTTTCAAATTTCAATCTCTCAAGCAAACTCAAATGAACAAGACTGTCAAAAGCACTGTTGCTAGATGGTCCCACCAATGTGGGTAGGGTGGTGACCAAAAGCTTAACAATTAAGGTTGGAAGATGAAGTGAAAGGTTTTTTGATTAATGGCTTCATTCATGTCCACTTAATGGGAGATTAAAGTGGGCAAATGAAAAGACAAAAGAGTTGCCTTTGTAAAGCCTATATAAAGGCCATGGATTTGGCTACCTTGGACATGAGAGAGTTCAAGAAGAAGAAAAAGAGAGGAGAGAAAATTTGTTGAGATATACAAGTGTGAGAAAATTAGCCGAGAAGAAGTTGGTGGATTTCGTAGAAATTCTTGTGCCTCGGGGTATGTTATTTTCTCTTGTATTTTGTGTTGCCTCTAATCGTTGAATTAGAGAAGCCTCCTCTGTTGTACCCATTATCTATATAGTGGAAGGTTGACTGGCTTGTGCCCGTGGTTTTTTACTCCTTGCCTTGAGGAGGTTTTTCCACGTTAAAATTCTTGGTGTTCTTCTTGGTGCCGTTTATTTATTTTCATTGTGCTAATTATATATTCTTGCGAGCTTTCTTCCCAACAACTGGTATCAGATCTTTGTTCAAGTGCGAAGCTATGGAAGGAAAATTCAATAGAATTGCAAGTTTGAATGGCACAAATTATCACATATGGAGAAATAAGATAAAAGATCTACTATATGTGATGAAGTTGCATTTACCCGTGTTTGCTACCTAGAAACCTGAAAATAAATCAGATGAAGAGTGGGCCTTTGAGCATGAACAGGTATGTGGTTTTATTCGGCAATTTGTTGAAGATAATGTGTATAATCATATTTGTAGTGAAACCCACGCAAGGACACTGTGGAGTAAACTTGAAGATTTATATGCTTCAAAGACTGGCAACAACAAATCGTTTTATCTCACAAAATTGGTGCAGTTGAGATATAACGAGGGTAGTTCTGTTGCGGATCACTTGAATGAATTTCAAGGGATTGTTGATCAATTGTCAGGTATGGGAGTTAATTTTGATGATGAGGTCCTTGCTCTTATGGTACTAGCATCATTGCCAGATTCTTGGGAAACTTTAAAGATTTCTTTGACTAATTCTGCTCCTAACGGTGTTGTCACAATGGAACTTGTTAAAAGTGGTGTCCTGAATGAAGAGATGAGACGAAGGTCACAAGGTACTTCCTCTCAACATTCAGAGGTCTTGGCTACAACAAATAGGGGGAGAAGTCAAAGCAAGGGTTCAAGGAGTAAAGATAAAAACAGAGATAACAGTAGAGGTAAATCTAATAAATTTGCTAATGTTGAATGTTATCATTGTCACAAAAAGGGGCCTATTAAGAAATTTTGTCGACTACGAAAGAAAGAAAATCAGAAAAATAAAGACTCTGAAAAGAATAATGGTAGTGAAGATGATAGTGTAGCTGCTACAGTTGAACATGATTTTCTTATCTTCTATGATGGTGACACAGATGCTATTAATTTGGCAAGTCATGATACAAACTGGGTAATTGATAGTGGTGCATCCATTCATGCTACAGCTCGAAAGGATTTTTTTGTTAGTTATGCAACAGGTGATTTTGGAGTTGTGAAAATGGGCAATGATGGTAATGCAAAGATTGTTGGTGTTGGCGATGTTCAGTTAGAAACCAACAATGGCACCAAGTTGCTTCTGAAAAATGTGAAGCATGTTCCAGATATCAGGTATAATTTAATTTTTGCTGAAAAATTAGATGATGAAGGGTATTGTAATACTTTCCAAAATGGCCAATGGAAACTCACAAGAGGTTCTCTAGTTGTGGCTCGAGGCACAAAGTGTTCTACACTTTATGTTTTACAGGCCAAGATCTCAGGAAATATTGTCAATACGGTTGAGAACGATGATACGAATGATATATGGCATAAGAGGCGTGCACACATATCTGATGAGAGGATGTCCATGCTGGTCAGAAAAAAGAGCTTAGCTGGGTTGGACAATGTTCATTTGAAGAGGTGTGCTCATTGTCTAACAGGGAAGCAGAACAGAGTATCCTTTAAAAGTTCTGCTGAGACTAAGAAGAAACCAGAGGTATTGGAATTGATACACTCTGATGTGTGTGGACCTTTCAAAACTAGGTCACTTGGTGGTGCTTGCTATTTTGTTACCTTCATTGATGAATGCTCAAGGAAATTATGGGTTTATTCTTTGAGGCATAAAAGTCAAGTTGTGGACATATTCAAGCAATTTCACGCCCTAGTTGAGAGACAGACTTGGAAGAAGCTAAAATACATAAAGTTAGATAATGGAGGAGAGTATATTGGGCCACTCAATAGGTATTGCGTAGAGCAGGGTATTCGCCATAAGAAAACACCACCAAAGACTCCTCAGTTAAATGGTGTTGCTGAGAAGATGAACAGGACTTTGATTGAGAGAGTTAGATGTTTGTTGTCACATGCAAAGTTACCAAAGACATTCTGGGCTGAGGCACTAAGCACTGTTGCGCATGTGTTGAATCTCTCACCATTTGCTCCTTTAAGGTTTGACATACCAAATCGGGTATGGACAGGAAATGATGTTTCCTATGATTATCTACGTGTCTTCGGGTGCAAAGCATTTGTGCACATTCCGAAAGACGAAAGATCGAAACTTGATGTTTAGACATGACAGTGTCTGTTTATTGCTATGGTCTAGATGACTTTGGCTACAGATTTTATGATCCAGTTGAAAAGAAGCTTGTGAGAAGCCGAGATGCTGTGTTCGTGGAGAATCAAACCATAGAGGATATTGACCGGGTTAAAGAATTGGGATCTCATAACGGTGATTCAGTTGATACTGAGATAGTACCTCCAACAGTGGTTCCTGAAGAGGTTGGAGAGGAGGACCAAATTGAGCAGCAAGATGTTACTGATGCTTCCATTAATGATGATGAACTCCCAGTTCCAGAAGCTTCAACTCCACCTCAGCTTCGAAGAAGTTCAAGAGTTAGACAGCCTTCCACAAGGTACTCTTCTGATATTTATGAAATTAATTTTGTTGATAATGGTGAACCAGAATGTTATGCAGAAGTTGTGGATAGGGGTGGAAATGGGACGAGCCGAGCCGAGCTTTAAAAAATTAGGCCTGGGCCTGTTACGAAAATCTAATGCCTAGGCCCGAGCCTGAGCCTGTATGTAGGCTTTTTGTTAGGCTCAAGCCTGAGCCTGCAATTAGCCTGGCCTGGCCTGAAGCCTCTTTAAAAGCCTGTTTAATATTTAGGTCATTAAAAATGCTTCAAAGCAAGTCCTACCTTAGTCTATTAAAGCGTACATGTTAATACTTTTTAAAAACTTTAGTATGTATAAATAATATAAGAAATGTACCTACAAAACTAATACATAAGTATATCACCACAATGCAAACATAATAGCAAATAAATATAAAATAAAACAAAACAAGTCACGACTTCAACATGCTCGTTAACTTGTTTAGAAATAAATTCAATTGTATCATTGTTTGTTATCCTATATAATATCGTAAATAATTAACAATCAACTACATTTCATTAAATATTATGATAGTAAGAACAATTAATAAAAAAAAATAACACAATAAGAAGAAGACTTATAGCAGGATTAACAACAATGTTTATAGTTGAGTCATAATTTATAATGAAATTTTGGAGGTGCAGGGTTAGGGTTTGATAATTATATATACTTGGGGTTATATATATATATATATATATATATATATATATATATATATATATATATATATATATATATATATATATATATATATATATATATATGCCAGGCCTGTAGGCCTGAAGGCCGAGCCTGGTATATATAGGCCTGGCCTGTTTACTTTAATAGGCTTTGAAATTGGCTCAAGCCTGGTCTTTTTACTAAACGAGCTAGGCCTAACTAGGCTTTAATTAGGCCTGGACATAGGCCCCTACAAGGGGCCTGGCCTATTCCCACCCCTAGCTGTGGAGGATGAACACAAGGAAAAGGGGATTGAAGCCATGAAAGATGAGATGAAATCCTTGTATGAGAATAATACCTTTGAGTTAGTAAAGCTACCTAAAGGTAAGAGAGCTTTGACAAACAAGTGGGTGTACAGAGTAAAGCAGGAAGAACACTCTTCACGGCCACGGTACAAAGCTAGACTAGTTGTCAAGGGATTCAACCAGAGAAAAAGTATTGACTTTGATGAGATATTTTCTCCAGTGGTTAAGATGTCTTCCATTCGTGTTGTTCTTGGACTAGCAGCCAGCCTAGATTTAGAAATTGAGCAAATGGATGTAAAGACTGCTTTTCTTCATGGTGATTTAGATGAAGAAATATACATGGAGCAGCCAGAGGGTTTTGAAGTCAAGGGAAAAGAGGACTATGTCTGTAAGCTAAAAAAGAGCCTATATGGCTTAAAACAGGCACCAAGGCAATGGTACAAGAAGTTTGAGTCAGTTATGGCGCAATAAGGTTACATAAAGACTACTTCTGACCATTGTGTGTTCTTTCAGAAATTCTCTGATGATGATTTTATTATGCTTCTGTTGTACGTCGATGATATGTTGATCTTCGGCAAGAGTGCTTCTAGAATTAATCAACTAAAGGAACAGTTGAGCAAGTCTTTTGCTATGAAAGACTTGGGGCCAGCAAAACAGATTCTTGGGATAAGAATTACACGAGACAGGAACGCCAAAAAGTTGTGGTTGTCTAAGGAGAAGTACATTGAGAAAATACTTTGTAGGTTTAACATGGACAATGCTAAAGCGGTTAGTTCTCCTCTTGCTAATCACTTTAAATTAAGTAGTAAGCAAAGTCCTTCTACAGAGGAAGAAAAGGCAAGTATGCAACAAGTCCCTTATAATTCTGCAATTGGCAGTTTGATGTATGCTATGGTATGTACAAGGCCAGATATTGCTCATGCAGTTGGAGTTGTGAGTAGGTTCCTTTCTAATCCTGGCAAGGAACATTGGATGGCTATTAAATGGATTTTCAGATATCTTAGAGGTACTTCTAAATTATGCCTATATTTTGGTTCTAATAAGTCTATGTTGGTTGGATACACAGATGCAGACATGGCAGGTGACATTGACTCTAGAAAGTCGACTTCGGGATATCTAATAACATTTGCAGAGGGAGCAGTATCATGGCAGTCTAAGTTACAAAAGTGTGTTGGACTTTCTACCACAGAGGCTGAGTTTATTGCAGCAACTGAAGCTTGTAAAGAGTTGCTATGGGTGAAGAAATTTCTTCGAGAACTCGGGATCAAACAAGACAAATATGAGTTATTTTGTGATAGTCAAAGTGCTATACACCTTGGTAAGAATTCCTCTTTCCATTCAAGATCGAAACATATCGATGTAAGATATCACTGGATACGAGATGTTTTGGAGATGAACCACTTACAACTTGTAAAGATCCATACAAATGAAAATGGGTTTGACATGTTAACAAAGTCATTACCAAGGGAAAAGCTTGAGATATGTCGTTCAGCTGCAGGGATGCATGTCCCTCCCACATTGGCGTGAGGGGGAGTTTGTTGCTAGATAGTCCCACCAATGTAGGTAGGGTGGTGACCAAAAGCTTAACAATTAAGCTTGGAAGATGAAGTGAAAGGTTTTTTGATTAATGGCTTCATTCATGTCCACTTAATGGGAGATTAAAGTGGGCAAATGAAAAGACAAAAGAGTTGGCTTTGTAAAACCTATATAAAGGCCATGGATTTGGCTACCTTGGACATGAGAGAGTTCAAGAAGAAGAAAAAGAGAGGAGAGAAAATTTGTTGCGATATACAAGTGTGAGAAAATTAGCCGAGAAGAAATTCGTAGAAATTCTTGTGCCTCGGGGTATGTTATTTTCTCTTGTATTTTGTGTTGCCTCTAATCGTTGAATTAGAGAAGCCTCCTCTGTTGTACCCATTATCTATATAGTGGAAGGTTTACTGGCTTGTGCCCGTGGTTTTTTACTTCTTGCCTTGAGGAGGTTTTTCCACGTTAAAATTCTTGGTGTTCTTCTTGGTGCCGTTTATTTATTTTCATTGTACTAATTATATATTCTTGCGAGCTTTCTTCCCAACAAGCACCTGGTGGCAAATCATTGTCAATGTAAACCCCTAGTTCCTTCAAGTTTGGGACCATTGCAAAATCTGTTGTTCTTGGGACCCGGCCATTAACTTTCAACCAAAACAGAGTTTGTATGCTTTCCTGAATCACATTTGGGAGGTATACCGTGGCTCTTTTGTCAAGGTGTGCATGCCTTAACCGTGGCAAATCCAAAATATCTCGTGGCAATAGCAAACAACATTCTTCCCTCCACGAACAAATAATTAGAGTCTGCAAATTTTGAAGCTTAAACAGTTAAAATTTGTCAAGAGAGCCCACAGTCGTCAAAGCCAAGTATCTCAGATGAACTAACTCCACAATTTCACTAGGCGCGCCATGCCAACATTTTATTAATGATAAGTCCAACACTCTCAGAAAGTTCATATATGAGAATACCAAGTTGCGCTTCGAGAGGTACACATCTTCACCAAAGTAGAGAATAGTATGAGTTCCATCAGAAGTAGGCCAATTAGTTGATTTACAACTAATCCAACGACAACTCTCTGCTGATTGGGATTGTTTTCTTACGCTTAGAAGTTTCCCCCTTCTAGCTTCTTTCACAGATATGTCATGCAACATATCATGAAGCTTACATGACTTGATTTTGCCATCAAAACTTTGCTTGCTGATTTGCACTAGATTTCGATTGATAAGATTGTGCAAGTAACTCTCTGCCACTTCTTCCAAACTCTCAGTCATCTCTTTCTCATTCTTTAAAAATCCCTCTGCAACCCACAAGTTGATCAATTTGGTCGCAAGAATGTCCCTATCTTCTGGAAAAACTCCGAAATAGAGGAAACAAGCCTTCAAGTGACTAGGCAAGTAGTTGTAACTCAAAGAAAGCAGTCCTAAACACTCATCCAAAGAATTCATATTCTTTACAACATCACCCCATGCTTCTACTGACTTGTCGAGTGCACGTAGAAGTCCAGCCATGACAACAATGGCCAGTGGCAATCCCTGACATTTCATAACAATATATTCCCCTATAGCCTCTAATTCGGGGATGTGAACATGTTTCCCTTCAAATACCTTTGTCACAAATAAATCCCAACTTTCCTTTGGGGTTAGAAGACACTTGGTATGAATAGACTTACTTGAGCTAGCATATTCGGCCACCTCTTTCTCCCGTGTGGTCATCAGGATTCGGCTTCTGCTGAAATTATCTGGAAAACATTGTCTGATTGCATCCCAGGCCGAACTGCTCCATATGTCATCTATCACAATCAAATACCTTTGACCCAACAAATGTTTGCGCTACTGGTCTGCTAGCTGACCATGTTCTTTGCTGTAGAGTTCATTGGTGGTTGGTACAATACAAGCTAAAAGGCTAATGAGTATCCGCTTCACATCAGGTTCTTGAGACACAACTGCCCATGCCCGAATGTAAAACTTTGACATAATATCGGGATCGTCATACACCTTTTTTTCTAGCGTAGTCTTCACGATGCCTCCCATACCTGTAACTGGGATGACTTCTAGTTGCTCAGAAGACTGTTGACCAATGATCATGTTCTTTATTTTCCGAAACTCATCTCACATCCCACCATTTGATTCTCAGGCTCTAAATCATGATGATGGGTGGAAGTCGAACCGCCGGCAGGCAGTTTGTTTTCTAACTTCAAAGCTTCTGGAGATGAACTGTCATGTGACTGTGACTCAGATGTGCTTTCCTTGTCAATCTGGATCCGGACTTCAAGTGCCTCAACATCCTTTAGTACTTGCTGCAAGGTCTGGTGAAGCCCACAACAAGCTTCATCTTGGTTGGTAGAAGCCAAATAAACCTCTCTGAGTTTTGATTCGATTTCAGCTTCTGCTTTAGCAGCTTCATCTCTGATTTCTGCATCCAGACTTTGATTAACAGTCTATGTTTCAAGAAAGTGTTGAAGAATGCGGAGCTTCTTGGATAACAAGAAGACTAGTTGCGTATCATCATCATCAAGAATATTGTTCAAAGATGGGTTGGGATGCGAAAGGTGTTGATCCACTATTTCCAGTAGAGAAGTTACGACAACAAAAGCCATTAAAGAATTCTAGTGAGCTAGTTGTATGTAAAGAGAGATGCAGAGTTTGAAATGAAGGGCAGCTTTAGTTTGAACTCTGAAATACTGAACAGGAAATGCAATGGGTATATGTTAATTAGAGCAACCACATTAGTATAATTTTTTCACAAATTTTTATGAACCAAGTAGGAGAGGAGCAGGGAGGGGAAGAAAACAAGAAAAAAGAGGAAAAATTATTATGTGGACCCGGTTCATCCTTGCAAAGTAGACCCAAATCTAAAGATATACAATTTACCTACTAAATGTTCACAATTTATCTTTTAAAATTTTACATTTAGTGATGATCTAAAATTTAAAAATTTCAAACACAATTTATATTCTAGAACTTCACAATTCCAATATTAAAATTACACTATTAGGACCAGGGTTCACCTTACAAGGTTGACCCTGGTCCATGGTATAACAACTAGAAAAGAGTTGTCATGAAAAAATTTGATATGGTTAACATGCCCAATAGGCTTTTTCATCTTTGGTCGGGCCCTCTTCTTCACCCTCACATTTGGCCACACTAAAAAATCAACAAAAACCAACTAATGGGGATGCTCTTAAGACTCCTACATTTAAAAAATGTACAAAGAAATATGTGTTTATAATGTTACAAAGTAGATTAATTAATAATAGATTCAGGCATTGTTTAGTAATCATCGGTTAGTAGATTCTACCATCGGGTTATAAAAATATATTTAGTAAAATTAGTTGTTTAGTGTTAGTGGTTAACATGTAAAATAATTATCTATAAAGACATACAGGGGAGCCATGTCCTAAATTTTGTCCTTTTTTCCACATCAATAAGAAAAGTGACATGAGAGCCTTAGATTACAGCTTGCATGCCCATCCATTGTAGTTTTATATATATATATATATATATATATATATATATATATATATATATATATATATATAAGTGTATTCAAATGAGGACAACTATATTATATAGGATTATGAGGATAAATGTAGTTGTGTGCTATTAGTTTGTATGTCGTGTGCATGGCTGGATGTAGTCATGTGCCATAATTTGTATGTAGGGTGCACAAATTTGTTAATTAATAGAGTCTGGGTTCGAAACATGATGTTTACATGTATGCTTGTATGTCATTGTGTATTAAATTGTGTGCACTACTTTGTCGTGAGCCCATTATCTGTCTGCACAGTCCTCTATATATTGTTGTCCTCATACACTACTAAAAATAACATTTTTAACGTCGGTTTTTTTAGACAAACGACGTTGATTTTTTTCAACGTCATTCGGGGAGACGTTATAAATAAATGATACAACGTCGTTTATAAAAAATTGACGTAGTATATTTTTTAAAATAATTTAAATGAAACATACGACGTCAATTTTTCACTAAAAACCGACATCTTATAATTTTTAAAAATTTAAAAATTAATAACCGAGCAAAAATTGATGTCGTTTGTATTTTTTTTTTTTAAATTAAATTATACAAACGACGAATGTCGTTTGTATCTAAAAAAATTTAAATTATACATATGACGTTGATTTTTAACTAAAAGCTGATGTCGTATGTATTATGTAAAACTTTAAAAAAAAAAAAAACAAACAAACAAACGACGTCGATTTTTAGTAAAAAACAAATGTCGTTTGTTATTTATAAATTTTCTTTTTATAAATTATACGATGTCGATTTTTGGTTAAAAACCGACAACGTCGTATAATATATTTTTAAATATTAAATTTATTTTATAATTTTCTCTCAAAACCTGTGCAATTTTACAATTCATATCAACATTCAAAATCTGTACTAACAGAGCATCAAACTTATCTTCTACTCCGTATATTAATCTATACTATATTCTAAAATATGTCTAGTATATCATTTTTAAAGTCTTGAGTACCGGGTTATCCCCTCCACGAGGATGATTCTGATTCAGAAGCATATAGCTCATTGTCCCAAGTTACCCCTCCATCAGATCCGAAAAAAAAAATGAAAATGTCTTTAGGAGCTAGGTCATTTTCTAATATTTCTTTCACTGTCTTAGAGTTTATAATAACAATTAATAATATGCTAGTTGGCAATTTCAATTCTTTTAATTTTTTCATATACTATGGTATTCATATTCTGCTATAATTTTTAAACTAATAATTTAATTGGAGAAACATTAATTAAATATGCTAGTTGTCTATTGTTATATTTAATTTGAAATGAAATTTTAATATTATCATGACAACTAATATGCTAGTTGTCTATTGTTATATTTAATTTGAGAGAAAATATTAATATTATCATGACAACTAGTCAACTATTATGCTAGTTGTCTATTGTTATATTTAATTTGAAAAAAAAAAAAGAAATCTTAATATTATCATGACAACTAATATGTTAGGTTTCCTATTGTTATAGTGAACTTATATTTTGCGTAATTTATTGACTATTCAATACTAAGAAATATTGTAATTTATGCATGTCTATCACAATATGTCAATTATATATATCATTTTTAAATTATTAGTGGTGTAAATATTGTTTCCCAATCTCAAAATCCGACATATATTGTTCCTTCCCTGAATTATTAGTAGTGTAAATGTGGTTACTCGTCGTTTTCTCTATTCGAAAACCATGTTTTTTTTTTCTATATTTTTCTTTCTTCGTTTGTTTTCCTACCGCCGACAACAATATTTCTCCTTCTTCCTATTAGGAGAGCGAGGGACAATATATGTCACGTTTTAAAAATTGAGGGATAATATTTACACCACTAATAATACATAATAACATTGATAATTGACATATTTGTGAGAGGCATAAATTACAATTTTCCCTTAATATTATCATGACAACTAGTCAACTGTTATGCTAGTTGACTATTGTTATATTTAATTTTAAAAAATAAATATTAATAATATTGTCATGACAACTAATATGTTAGGTTGTCTATTGTTATAGTCAACTTATATTTTTCACTGAAAATTCCGTGTACCATTCTCTCTACACGGCTCTAGGGTTTGTTAGTTATTTTTGGTAAGTTTTCCCACGGCTTTGCTGGCTTTGGCCATGGAGGCCAAGCCGGTGGCTCCGACGTCCATCGTTGAGGGGCAGTCGAAGCACAAGTTGGTGGCGAAGAGAGAGTTGTTAAGCGGTATAAGACCTCGAAAAGGACATTTGCTAGGACGGCATCTGATCACCCCATGCTGGGCGAGGATAATGGTGGCGTCGAGGAGGAGAATAACTGGTTTGACACCGAGATCATATCGTGGTGGAATCGGACAAGGAGGATGAGGACCCTGCCGTTGCGGTGGATATTCCGGTGGTAAAGTTTTCCAAAAAACAACATGAGGAATGGATCAAGCCTCAGAAGAACGATTTGCTGGTCAAATATTTGGGTAAGGCGGTGGCACTCCCTCTCTTTCAACAGAGGATGTTACGCATCTGGAACCCGGAAGGGAGATCGGAGATCATTGACTTGGGTTCGGGGTGGTTCATTGCGAGATTCCAACTCCAAAAAGATTGTTTGCACGTGCTGGTTGATGGCCCCTGGAAGCTATTCGATCACTAAGTCGTTTCTAAGAGATGGCGACCGAACTTTAGGCCGAAGTCTGCAAAGATGGACCGGATGGCGGTCTGGGTCCGATTACCGGGGTTGCCGGTTGAGTTCTTCAGAGAAGAAGCAATCAAGGAAATCTTGAGGAATGTGGGGACCCCGCTGAAACTGGATACCACCACGATTGGTGTTCAGAGAGGACAATTTGCTAGGGGAGTGGTAGAGATTGATCTTGCTAAGCCTCTGGTGGCGGTGGTTAACGTGGAAGATTACCATCAACGAATTGAGTTTGAGGGATTAAGAGTGATCTGTTTTGATTGTGGTGAGATTGGGCATCGCTCTGCGGCTTGCCCTAAGATTCAGAGTAGTGGTGAACCGAATGCTCCGACGAATGATAAAGAAGAAGGGGAAGCCCAGGTGTCTATGAGTATAGAGCAACAGAAGCAACCCGCCCCAGTGGAGAAACATGGAGTGTGGATGATCGTCAAAAACAAACACAAAACTAAAAGTAGGGCTACGAGCAAGCAGAATACTAAACAAAACAAAGGGGACAAAAGCCAATCCCGGACTGCCGCCAATACTGGGAAGAAGTCGACAACCTCCAGAAACAATAACCAGTTTGAGACTCTCCGAGACATGGAGAACGTGACTGAAGCAGGGCGCCCACGAGGCAGAAACAAAGGGGTGTTGGCATCGAATAGAGGTAAAGGAACTAATCCAACTTTTTCTCTCCCACAAAACTTGTCATTTCCCATGCAGGACGGCAGCACGGTGAGACAGGTTGGGGGTGGCATCATTGATATGCCTCCTAGAACCCAGACACTGCTTTATACTGGAGGGGGATCTTCCAAGAGAGGTAGTAGTCGCGGTGGTTCCCAGTCAAGCCACCGAGGAAGAGGACGCAGCATTGGATGTGGAAGAGGAGGTTTGTTTTCTGTTCCTGAATCTAGT